GTGGAATCATCTGTCGCCGTCGGGCTGCCCACGTGGTGGCAGCTCGTCCGGCTGAGTGTCGATGTTTTGCTGCGGCCGAAGAAGTCAAGTAACAGCAGGCGCCGTCGAGCGCCTCGTGGTATGCTGTGTGCACCTCGTGGTATGCTGTGTGCACCACGGCGTGTTGCTTCAATCCTCGTGGTATGTTGTGTGCACCACGGCGTGTTGTTTCAATCCGAGTGTTCGTTCAGCTCCACATTTACTTAACACGCGTCGGGTACCCGGTTGAATACCCTTCGCTCGTGTGGTAGTCAATTTGACCGTCGTGAGATCTCAGATACTAAGGGAGCTACAGACATGAAATTCACAGGGTGTGTTGACTGGTATGTGAAAGCACTTTTGTCAAAATTTGAAACTTCTAGGCCATAAAGTTCGGGTCAAATAAGGTCAAACAAGGTCAAATCCCGGATTGGTGTCTAATTGCCCCAGAACCTAGATCTGTTCTAAGCAAAAGGTCACTGGTATTCAGTTAAGGTGATGAACCTTTTTTTACCTTTAACAGGGCATGGTGACCAAAATCATACAACTGCTTTGAGTTTTGCATTCGAATAAGCGACAAACATTATGCTAGGCAGTATGTTCCTAAAACAAAATGTTGACCGTGGCTCTTGTACGTCAGTGTTCTATTCTGACTTTTAAGGCGTTCATGAAAGAGGCATAATGCGGCTCCTGTTATCAATAAATTATAAATGAGCACCAGAAACTGCCCCATTCAGCACGCTAGAGTAATAAAGCCGATTGGTTTTGACCTTGGTCTGACATTTATACCTCACCATAGCTCAATGGAGTTCGTTCATTTAATTGTTGTGTTGCCTAAAAATTACCTCAGAGTTGTACGGCTTTGTGTAACACTTCGTTGTTGCATCAGATTTCATGATTCCCTAAAAATTGTCTTCGCTGAATCCATGGCCTCAATTTGACCCGTCGTAGGTCGGCGGCTTTATGAGGTACATCTCAATTTTTGAAACCAAATGATTCGCTACTCAATTGTATGCGGTTATTCAGAATATGGCGCGGCTGCCGTTCGGGCACCATTCCGGAAAAACCCTTTGGGGGTCAAACTGACCCCACCCGAGCGCGTAAGCGTAACATTTGGAGAATGTGACGTGCATTTATTTTCCTTGGCGGCGATTTTCAGTCACATGTGACTAAGCAGCGTCTTATCAGGCCCAATAGTCATACATCCGTGTGCCTTAAAATTTCATATATTCCCAGCCATTTACACTGCCCGCAACATGGCGTTGTCCAGCTTGTGACGGGCGATCTCCGTTTAAGCTATGGCCGATGTGGAGACCGTGTTGAAATTCACTGAGATAATAGGTGAAGCTTGCACTATTTAAGGGTTAAAAGGATCGATCAAGCTGACAGCATCTTAACAGTGGTTAGTCCTGCCAATAAAAACCGCTCTGAGCTTAAGATGCAGAAAATTGAGACGAACAGTTGCATAATGATGAGATAAGAAAGTTTCCGCCGATAAATTTACGGGCTATTCCGATAGAGCTGACGGCAAACAATTGGCCTCGTTTCCACTGATTCTAGTCTCCGTGAATTTCAGATTCGATGTCATATTGCCGAAGGGTCAGTGTCTAATGATAATCAAAATGCATTTGGGCGAGTGCTTTTGTGTCAGATGCAATTTACCAACTGTGATTTGTCGACGACGACTGTGATTTGTCAACTTGTCCCGTGTCAAGCAACTTGTGTCAAGTAAGCGAAATGCTTAAAAGATACACAACTAGCCAACATGCCTTTTCAACACTAATCAGATTGACGAAATCTTAACACACGCTCGGGTAGGCGGGGTAAAATTGACCCCCTCCAAAGGTTTTTTCCAGAATAAATTCTGACCAGTGCGGCGAAGCCGGCCTAAGCCTTACTTAACTGTGGAAAATTGAATAGCAAATCTTTTGATGTAAAAAATATATGCGTACCATGCAAGATCACTTATCTATGGCAGGTCAAAGACAAGCCACGGCTGTCAACGAAAGGCACTTCTAGGGAATCGTTCAATGTGATGCAACAACGGAATGTTAGACAAACCATACATATCTGACATGCTTTCTGAGGCAATAAACCAATTGATTTAGAATTACAATCACTTCTATTGACCTAGGGTCAGGTCTGAGAGTCGAAACGAATTTAAAGCTAATCTGTTTTTTACTCGAGAGCTTGGTTTTATGGAACACCTTCTGGAATTTATTTCGAGTTTATTTATGACAGGGACCGTAACAGACATGTCTCATGGACTTCCTTAAGGTCAGAGTAGGTCACCGACTTAAAATGACGCAGGTCAATATTTCGTTTTTAGGAACATGTACCCAACGTAATCCCTGATCCCATTCAAATGGCAAATTAGGAGCGCTCTCTTAGATATTTGGTCACCCTGGCCCTAATATAGGTCGAAAAGGTCGCTTACCTCATTGATCTTTTGCTCAGAACAGGTATCTAGCTTTACAGCGCTTGCATGAGGCGGTCTGGGGGCACTTGAGACACCAATCTGGAGGCTGACCTTCTTTGGCTTTATTTTTTTTCCAAGACCATTACCTACGAACCTTGAATTTTGACACAAGAGAGTTCACGTGCAGGTTAATCTTTCCTGTGAATTAAGTGTTTCTAGCTATCTTATTTTTTAGATCTCAGGAAGGGAAGGGGTCATATTGTTCTACGCCCATCCGAGCGAAGGGCAGCCAACCGGCCACCCGGACGCGTGTTAATGAGCCCATAAACATATTATGGGCAATAAACCCATGTTCACCGAATGCCAATTTCATGCAATGTTCTTTATTCGAATGCCATTTGTCGAAATGCTTTTCATTCAAATGCTTATTGCCGGAATGTTTTTTAGTCGAATGCCAATTGTCAATTTTTTACGTGTGCTTTCTTTTAAAATGGTCTTTACTTATATGTTAATTGGCCGAAATGTTCTTTGGCTAATGCTATCTACGGATAACAAGTGTGTTTTGGTCAAATGCTAATTAACCGAAATGCTCCTCAGTCGAATGCTGATTAGCTGAACGTTCAGTTGTCGTATGCTTTTGTCGGAATATTTTAACGGACTGTAGACAGAGCCCTCGCCCTGTGGACGTTTTCACAGTCCCTGTACGAGGAGAGGCTTCAGCAGCCCCATCAAGTTCTCGATAACCAAGCAACATAGGGTCACGGAAAACGGCATTGGGAAGCTTTCGTCAAATTGTTCCTTGCAAGTCTGACCGAACAATGGCGAATGAAAATTTTGCATGCTAAACCAGGTCCACTCTCTTGATGCCGCAAGAACAAAGCATGCTGCCGCAATACGGGACACGGCGCTGAATTGTTCTTAAGATATTCATCAAGTTGGCTCAAGTAGATATCTAGACATGTTACCTTTAATGTGTCGTTTCATATCAGAGAAGAGAATGTTTTTGCTTCCCTGGTCCTTCCAGCTACATCAAGAACAAAACAGGCTAAACAAAACCGAATTACTCCATCTCCTTAGCAATATCGGCTACACCCCACTAACAATGTTATCATTGCGTAACGTAATTCACAGGTCACCCCTTACGCTCTATGGACGGAATCACGTCACCTAATTTTATATCGTCCTCTTACCATTTCGACGAAAGAATTCGGCTGTTCGACTGCTCAACGAATTTATATTCGACTAATCGCTGTTCATCAGATTTACATGTCGGAAAAAAGGATTTGGCTACTTAACGATTCGGCGATTTTTCATCTGTCGAATATTTGGTTTTGGAATATAATCATTCATCGACACATTTTGGCTGACTAGTTTTCGGTAAATTAGCATTTCAACTGTCGTCGGTATCTTTTTTGACTTTAACGCGCACACTTTTTTAACGTGGCGGCAAACAGACATGGCGACAAAAAAGCAGTCGGGACTTTCACATTCGACGAAAGAGCATTCGGTTTAAGGCCATTCTGCAATATTGGAACCGGCTAATAATGCTACGGTGGAAAGGGCTACATGGTACCAAGTGGTACAAGATGAACGTGATACTATTAGTGGCGGGGCTAAAAAGAGAATGGGGAGGGGCGGCTCAACTGAGCATTAGAGGGGCCTCCAAAATACAACGTGATGCTCCTGGTAACGTCTAGCGTCCGTTTCTCCCCTATTCAGCTAAAGGCGCGAAACAAAGACGAGCGGCTGCTTGTCATGAGAGGATGATGATGACATCCGGCATCTTCATCCAAATTAGTCGAACATGATTTGCAAACTCACCTGAGCGTAACGTTACGTTCCCCTTCACTACCCTCACTCTTGTTGCGCCTCGGTTGTGTTCCATTAAAATACCCTTCCATGTCGTGCGTATAAGAACGGCATCATTCGCGAAACCTGTGTTGGAGAAGCGCAGCAATTGATTTTAAACAGAATGGTAAGTTGTTTTATATCGTGGAGTTTGTGTTATCGATGCCTGCTACCAGATGCTTTCAAATTGCTTCCAAATCGTATTAAAGATTTTCACGGATGAAAAGGTGACTTGATGGAAAAACACCAAATCTTAGTGAGAAAGATTGCCACGATATTGAAGAACCATTCGCTGTATTCGCAATACTAGCAAGGGGATATGGCTTAGCAGGGAACATGATTAAGCCTGCCCCAAAGTACACCAAGAAATGTGATTCTACTGGTTTTGACCAGCTTTTTCTCGAAGCTGAAGACTGGAGCCCCGTCATTAAACTGAGTAGGGAACTGCACCCTTGACTCCTAGTCAAACTACACTACCCGGCGATAAAGATATGCGATGCCGGAAGCCTGCACGGGTCCGGGTGGGGAGGTGGTTCACCGTCTGACAGGAAGGGCGCCTCCGCCAGGCGCGCCTCAGGGCGCTGACGCCGGTCTTACGATGACGTCACGATGCGATGACGGCGGTTGGATGTTTGCGTGCGGGCGGGGGGCGGCGGCGGCGGGGCGCGGACGACATCCTCGGGGCGGGCGCGGCCGCGACCAGTCGTCGGTTGGCCGGCAACTGTGAGGGAGCGGTCCGGGTGCGCGCGCCGTCAGCCAGTGGGCTCCGACGCCGAGGGAGCCGCACTCGCCGACAGCAGCTGGCGTTGCCACCATGGCTGCCGTCGCCGACTTCTACCGGGGCAAGGCGGTGCTCATTACGGGTGCCACCGGCTTCATGGGCAAGGTGCTGGTGGAGAAGCTGCTCCGCTCCTGTCCTGACGTCAAGACGCTGTACGTGCTGCTCCGACCCAAGGGCCAGAGTGACGTCACGGAGCGACGAGAGACACTGCTCAAGGCTCAGGTACGGCCCCCACTGCGCTGCGCCACTGCGCCACTTTCTAATCGCCCAAAGAACTTTCGAACCGCTTTTTGCGTGTGCTTGCAGGGAGCTCTAGTGATCGCGCCCCACCTTGTGTCCGAGTGCCGGAGCAGAGCGGAGGAGCACTGCCCGCCCGCCGTCGCCTCTCTCTCTCTCTCTCTCTCTCTCTCTCTCTCTCTCTCTCTCTCTCTCTCTCTCTCTCTCTCTCTCTCTCTCTCTCTCTCTCTCTCTCTCTCTCTCTCTCTCTCTCTCTCTCTCTCTCTCTCCCTCTCTCTCTCTCTCTCTCTCTCTCTCTCTCTCTCTCTCTTTCTCTCTCTCCCTCCCTCTCTCTCTCTCTCTCACTCTCTCCCCCTTTCCCACTCTCCTCTCCCTCTCTCTCTCTCTCCCTTTTTCTCTCTCCCTTTTCTCTCCTTCCCTCTCTCTCTCCTCTCCCTCTCGCTCTCTCCTTCTCTCTCCTTCCCTCTCTCCCTACTCTCTCTCCTTCTCTCTCTCCCTCTTCCCTCTCTCCCTCCCTCTCTCCCTCTCCCCTTCCACCCTCCCTCTCTCTCTCTTTTTCTCTCTCCTTTTTCTCTCCCTCTCCCCCTCCCTCTCTCTCTCCCCCTCTCTCTCTCCCTCTCTCTCCCTCTCCCTCCCTCCCTCCCTCCCTCCATCTCCCTCTGCCTATCTCTCTCTCTCTCTCTCTCTCTCTCTCTCTCTCTCTCTCTCTCTCTCTCTCTCTCTCTCTCTCTCTCTCTCTCTCTCTCTCTCTCTCTCTGTCTCTCGCGTCGGCGCTATCCGACGCGGTCGGCTGGCGGCCGGGCGACGGGCGCTCGCCGGGGGCGGCTAGTCGGTCACGCCGGGCCGCGCCGCTCCCGACAGACGGCAGAGCGGGGTGATCGCGCGATGGAGCCCGGACGAGCCGGCTGAGCCGATGGATGGACCAGCCCCGGTCAGCTAGGCTAAATCGCTCGGGGACCACCCTTCCGGTGGGACTGAAGCCTGCCGCGACAATAAGGTGACCTCCTATGAGCAGTCGAAGGTATTCTTGTATGCCGCGCAGGTGGGCGTCACCTGGCGTTGCGCTGACCCGAGACGTTCACGTTATGATAAGCGTGGACATCGCGTTCCGAGACGTTCACGCTGGGCGTTGCTTTGACTGGTCATCGCCGTTGCACGGCCGCCCCCTCCACGACTTGTTGGCAATGCAATCGCAGCTGCATCCATGCCCTGTGCCGTGCCGAAAGAACGACAGGCCAGTTCTGACTGAATGGTGGTCCCTTCTGAGGGTGCACCACGTGGACGTGCTGGCCAGCGGTTGGGGGCAGAGCGGTCCCTGGACCGCTGGTCTGGGCTCGGACCAGCGTTGCTGGTCGTCCGGACGGCCTGCCTGGACCGGGGAGAGTTGGTGCAACGCTTCCGCGAGGCACGTACCCTCCCACGTACCCGCCATGATTCGCACCCCGTGGTCCCGCCAGTTGTGAGGGGTACAGACGCCACCCCCAGCTGGGCTCTGGGGCCTGCACGGTGTGATAGCGATCTGACGGATGCCTTGCGGTCGTGTTGGCTCCGTTGGTGACGCCGCTATCGAGGGCCGGCGTATGCCCTTGGCAATTGATTTCCTGTTCAGGTGTTTTTGTCGTCATGTCTTTGCTGTTTTTCCTGCGTTGGGCAATGATGTCCGGGACCTGTCAGCGACCACACCGTGTCAGTCATCATCTGACCGGTCCGCAGACTGCGAGCTGTCGGCGTTAGATCTGTGATGCTGTCTTTGCGAGGATTTCCTCAGCTTTGTCCCGCACGGTTTAATGGTGTCTTCCAAAGCCTAAAGCGGAACTAAAAACGGACTTTGAACGCTTTAAAGCTGTGCATGTTCTAACAGGCCGCATAGCACACGTACGCAAGGTATGCCGAATGAAGCGCGAAGTGAACAGTAATAACTAATCTTTACATAGTTTATTTTTTTCTGCATCGGCCAGCTATTCCTTCCATTCCACGGATAGGTTATGTACTCTAGGTGCATTTGCATCACCTTAGCCTCAACTGCTTTTAAAAAGCAGTTGCTTTTAAAAAGCAGTTGCGGGTAACAACAGTTTTTAGGTAACAACTTTAAGATCGGTGAAATGAGAAGTCTTACTGATGGTTTCCAAAAACACTTTTAAATGACACCATGGGTACACTTTGTTCTGTCTGCTTGGCGGCACAGTAGGCGCGGCAAACCGCTCTTAGCCTTATTTGCTTCACGCGATGCACCACGCGCAACGAAGGCATTTGTCTCTGTATAGAGCTGATGCTCAGCAGTTCTCCTGATACCGGACCGTGGGGGGGGGGGGGGGAGGAGGAGCGAGGACGGGAAACCACGGCGAGGCTTAGCCAGGTCTCGTATCTAATCTGTGGCCAGAGACTTCACCACTGGCGTCCGCTTGCGTCCGGTCGCGTGTGATCACCCCCGGCTACGAATCCCGGCTGCCCATCGGCAACGCGGCCATCGTTGGGTATAACGAACACTATCTCCAGTAACCCACCACCGAGCACTGGTCGTCTCCCCCCCCCCCCCCCCATCACATGTGTTCATGCAGCCGACCTCTGCTCAGCTCTCAGAATCCTCCCTGCATCGCCCCTCGGCCATGCCCGCCCGGCGTTCAGTGTGCGTCTGGGGCCGGGCCGCGCCCGACCGGGCGCATTCGTTGGGCGGCGGCGCCGCTGGGCAGAGCCGCAGACTCGGGCAGAAATAGCCGTTCTGGGCGGCGAACGGCGGCCGGGTCAGCAGCCGGGTGCGCCGGCCCGCAGCTCCGACAGGCACGATAAACCTTGAGGCGTGGACTAACGCTCGCCTGCGGGGGCTCGAGCGAGGCGTTTCAGCCAGGCAACCAAGGTCACGTGCAACCAGGCGCGCAGGGCATCTAGCACGCACAGTGGAGGGCATCTGAGAAATACCCGCGGCGAAGGGGAAAATCTCCCCTTCCCCTTTCACCAGCTCAAGAACCGTAGGAGGTATAGAAACAAAAGGCTAGGGATAGATGGATGCGAAAGGGAACCACATTATGTGAAAAAATCGTGAGCGCGGCAAATATCTTTCAGTGTCAAATATGGTCAAATTTTAAACTTTCTGCGTGGTTTGAATTGTCATTCTTATTGATCGTTGGTCTGATTATGAGTAGACGTGCTGAAACTGGCCAAATACATTTTATTGATATGACGTACAACACTTTAAGGAAGTAATATCAATGTGCGACCTTTTTCACTGTGACGCTTTTATATCAGCAGATAAATTGTGACGCACATCATAGAATGCGGACCGGGAGGATGGTCGACGCAACCGATTTTCCGAAAAAAACGCTTAAGCTTGCAAACGGGAGGAAATGAAATATATACTCGCTTCGCTTCATAAGAGCAAACAGCACGGGTTGTGAACGCGTTTAGGGAACAGCCTAATAAAATCGCATGATTCTCATGACCTGAGGTACCTGTGTTTGTGACAGCCATGGGATTGGCCAAGGCTGATCTCATTAACCTGTGATGAACCCAATCTAAATTGACCTCCGTTACCCAATATGATCTTTGACTTATAACGCGTTGCAATTTTAATAAAAAGTCTCCCGCGTTGTCAGGAATATTGCCTTGAGCAGATGCAAGTATCTGGAGAGCATGAAATATAATTTTCTTGCCCTTTCTTTGGCTACATTGCTAGTTTTGTCTAACTGCAATGTGAAATTTTTGGGCTGGCTGTCTTTTCTTTGCCTTAAATAATGCGCTATGGTGTCTTTTTCAGGGAATAAGCTACATTGATCTGTCAGTTCACTTCGGAGATATTTACACACAAAAAAGATCGAGGGTCACCCACTTTTTTCACTGCGCCTGTCAATCAAAGATGCTGCCCGGAAGGAATAGTAAGCACATCAGCTCGAATTAACACGACAAATGCATTGGGCGCGTGTCATACCCAGCGGCTTCCGGTGCCGTCAGCTGTGCTCCGTTGTTCCGCCGTCGCTGACGCTGGTCGTGCGTGGCCCCGCCCAGTGTGGGCGTGGTCGCGCGCCGGCGGGCCAGCATCTTGGCCATGGCGTCGCAGCTCGTCAGCTGTCCGCCGCCGCCCAGCTGATGAGCTGCCTTGCCGACACGCACGCGGCGCGAGCCAAGCTGCCGGGAGCGCTGGTGCCGCCGGCGACCGGCCACAGGGCTCCGGCCTGTCTGCTGGGGCACCGCACCCGGCCGGTCTGCTGGGGCGCGGCGCCCGGCCTCAGGGCTCCGGCCCGTCTGCCGGGGCACCGCACCCGGCCGGTCTGCTGGGGCGCGGCGCCCGGCCTCAGGGCTCCGGCCCGTCTGCCGGGGCACCGCACCCGACCGGTCTGCTGGGGCGCGGCGCCCGGCTGGCCTGATGGCACACGGCGCCTGGCACGGATCGGCCCACCAGAGGCGGGGCTGTCGCCTGCTACCGATTGCCAGCCGGGGTCACTTTCGCTACAGTCATTGAAGGAGAAGGACGCCATGGGCGACATAAGCAGTGGCTACAACGGGGATTCGTTGATGACAAAGTAACAGTGGTCGCCCTTGGCTCGCTTGTGATATTCACAACAGTAAAGTAGGGACATAAGTTTAGATTCAAATAATAAAGTCAAAGCAGCATGCCAACCATTGGTTTGGTTTTCCTGCGTATCTAAAGCATTTTACACTGGCACACAAATGCATTCTGAGAGATCATTTGGCAAAATGTCAAGTAAACTGTAATAACTCAACAGATCCTTCAAAGGAAGCCTTGTAAAATCCCATAAGGTTCTGCGACAAAATTAAAAGGAATATCCAGGATCTGAACAGCTCCTTTGACAAAGTATCAAAAAATCCAAGCTTCCAGAAGACCCTTTAACAAAATTTCAAAAAAGATCCGGGCTCTCATAAGATACTTTGACAATTTTTTAAAAAGATCTAGAATCCAATGCATGCTTCAACAACATTCCAAAAAAGGCTCAAGACCCCAGAATATTTCGAATCCAGATCTTAAGGATCCA